TCTTCCCTCCTGTGTTCATGGTCACCCTGGAAAATGGAACTGCCCTGACACCGTTTGGATTCTCAGTCTGCTGAAGATGTACTACCCACCAGGACATGGACACACCAAGGCCCTTCAGGCATGAGGACAGCCCGACACAGGCTCCCAGCAAACAGACCCCTCCAGCCTCTGTCCCATGTCCCTGAAGCTTACCTTCAATATATGGCTGATTCTCTAATCTGGCAGAAGAAAGTGGAGCTGTAAGGCCTTGAAGATACCCCGGCCCACAGGCCATGGCAAGCTGGTACCTACTCCTCAATGCTCCTTCTAATGGGATGTGGAGGCAGAGAGGGTGTGGCACCTCCACTGTGCCAAGATTCTAGAACTCATGGATTGTGTGTTTATGACTGTGGGGAGTAGGCATCTGCCCCAGGGTTGGGGACCTACCTGGCTGTGGCAGTCACAGGACTCTGAGAAGGAGGCAGTGTGGTCATGGCAAGGCCCTGCCAGGGCCACCAGGTGATGCTGCTGTCAGGAGCCTCCCTGGAGCGGTACTCCTGGTGCTCGGCCCATGACAGTGCCTCCTGGGCCCAGTTCTCTGCAGTGTACCCCAGCCTTGGCCTTGATGGTGCCCCCGGTGCATAGTTCTGAGCCTGTGACAGCACGACATGCTTGGCTTGTGACAGTGCCTGGTGCCTGGCCCATGAGGCACCCTAGTGCCCAGCCCAGGTTTCGTTGTGAACCCCTCTCATTCCCCCCTGGAGGTGTGGAAACTGAGGCACTGAGAGGAAGATAACTAGTTCCTGTAGTATGTGATGTGATTGAGGTGGAACTGGAGCTTTCTTTTTTCCCTCAGGGTCTGTATTTTCTTTACTTTTCTTTCTTTTTTTTTTTTTCTTCAGACAGGGTCTCACTTTGTCACCACACTGGAGTGTGATGGTGGTGAGATCATAGCTCACTGCAGCCTCCACCTCCCAGGCTCAAGCAATCCTCCTACCTCAGCCTCCTGAGTAGCTAGGACCACAGGTGTGCACCATCATGCCTGGCTAATTTTTTAAAAATTTTTTTAGAGACGAGGTCTCACTGTGTTGCCCAGAGTGGTCTCAAGCTCCATGGATTACAAGCATGAGCCACTGTGCCCAGCCCAGGGTCCGTATTTTCAAGAGAAGAGCTCCTGGGTTGAGGAAATCTAGGTATGTTTAACCTGGGAAGGTGGCTTCCTGAGAGGAAGCTGCTTGCAGACTTGGGTCTTCACGAATCAGCAAAATGAATGACATCTGGGGACACCTCATCACCACTCCCCTGAGGTCTCCCCTCCCAAGGATCCCAGGCTCCTCACACTGTCCATGCAGGAAGCTCCTGCTCCACCCTGCAGCCAGTGCTGCCAAGGACACAGAGTGACGAGGTTGTTCACACACTGCTGGGGAGATAAACTGACATGACCACTGTAAACGACTGTTTGGAATCATTTAGCAGAGCAGAAAGTGTGCCTACCCCACAACCCACAGTTCCACTCCTGGCTTCATGCCCTAGAAACTGCACAGATGCAGCAGGACAGGTGCAAGAGACTGTTCACTAGCAGCGCTGTTGGGAAGAGTCCCAGCTGGAAACTACCCAACTGCCATCCAAGGCGCAACAGCTACACAGAATCTTCAGCAGCGGTGAGAATGGATGAGCTGCTGCTACACCTAACTAGATGGTGACTCTCATCACCGTATTCTGAGCGAAAGAAGTCGGATACAGTCTCTGTACTGTATGAAATTCAAAAACAGGCAAAACAAACTAATTTTAGAGATATATGGTAGAAAATCAAGGAAATTATCATCTGTACAATCAGATTCCCTCCAGGGGGAAAGACATAGAAAGGGAAAGGAGAAAGAAAAGAGAAACTTCAGAGAAGACAAACGCGATCACTCTTCTCTCTTTGCAGAAAATAATTCTTTGGGGGAAACAACTAATCAATAAAACAAAACAGGATGACTGAATAAAAGATCTGGCATATCTGTTATCACAACCAATGTGAATGCATAGAATTCTACTCTTAAAATAAAAAGATCTTCATGTTGGGTAGAAAAAAACCCATCCACATACTATTTATTAGAGACACACCAAAAACAAAGTGGCATAAATAAAGTGAAAATAAAAAGATGTAGCTGGGCTTGGTGGCTCACACCTGCAATCCCAGAACTTTGGGAGGCTGGGGCGGGCGGATGGCCTGAGCCCAGGAGTTCAACACCAGCCTAGCCAACATAGTGAGACCTCGTCTTGACAAAAACTTTTAAAAATTAGCCAGGTGTGGTGGCATGCGCCTGTGGTCCCAGCTACCCGGGAGGCTGAGATTGTGGTGAGCTGAGATCACGCCACTGCACTGTAGACTGGGCAACAGAGTGAGACCCTGTCTCAAAAAATATTAATTTAAAAAATTAGAAATTAATTAAATTTTTAAAAGATAGGCAGAAATGTATTTATATGCAAGCCAAAGTGGCAATGGCAATGTTAATCTTTAAAAATAATTCAAGACAAATGATTTAAACAGAAAAAGAAAGCTATTTTGTGTTGAAAAAGGCACAAATTGCAATATGTAACATCATAAAGTTCTGTCCATCAATAAAATAACATCAAACATATGAAACAAAATCAATCAGCAAAACATGAGAAATTGGAAAATCTCTCTTGCAGTGGGACAGTCTTCTCCAACTCACTCTGTCCTTGAGAGATGGAATAGCTATACAACTGCTAATAGAATAATACTAATAATTAGAGCAATACATTATTTAAAAACCTTATTGCGTGTGCCCGAGCAAATTTATAACCTTAAAGATGTTTATTATTGAATAACAGAGAATGAAAATAAATGACCTAAACACTCAAATCAAAAAACTATAAAAAGCAGAAAATAAACCAGAGGAAAATCTGAAGGAAAAAAAGTACAAAATATAAAATTGTACCTTAATCAATTAGAAGAACTGCCAAAATTAAGAATGAACTCTGATCTGGATCTTTGAAAAAACAAGTAATGTTACGTGGGACAAAGGGCATGTTTTCTATTGGTAGGGTGTAACCCACTAAGATAATACAGCAGGCATGAACCCTATATTCCTCACAACACAGCTTTGAAACATAGAAAGGAAGAATTGTGCAAGAAGAAATAGACAAATTCTTAATTTTTGCAGTAAACTTCTTAGAAATCAACAAATTATGTAGCCGTAAAATATGTCAGGTGTTGAGATAATTTGAATAACACAATCAACAAGCCTGATCCAATCAGTTATGCCTCAAACTTTGTTCTAAAACACACACTTTTAACTTTTATTTTAGGTTCGGGAGTACATGTGCAGGTTTGTTACTTAGGTAAACTTGTGTCACGGGGGTTTGTTGTACAGATTATTTCATCACCCAGATACTATGCCTCGGATCCAACAGTTATTTTTTCTGTTCCTCTCCCTCCTCTCTTAGATCACCAAAACCAAGGAGACCCCAGGAACAATGCTGCTGTTGTTCCCCTCTATGTGTTCATGTGTTCTCATCATTTAGCTCCCACTTATAAGTGAGAACATACGGTATTTGGTTTTCTGTTCCTGCATTAGTTTGCTAAGGATAATGGCCTCCAGCTCCATCCATTTTCCCGCAAAAGACATATCTCATTCTTTTTTATGGCTGCATAGTATTCCATGGTGTTTGTGTAACACATTTTCTTTATCCAGCATCATTGATGGGCCTTTAGGTTGATTCCATGTCTTGGCTCTTATGAATAGTGCTGCAGTGAACATTCCTGAAAACACACACTTTCATTTCAGACGCACAAGTAACACTCACTAAGACTAATCAAATACTAAGCCACAAGTAAAACCTCAAAAAATTCAAAAATGCAGAAATAATTAAATTCATATTCAGTTGTGCATCACTTAATGACAGGGATACAGTGTGAGAAATGCATTGTTAGGCAATTTCATCACCATGCAAACAAAAGACTGTGCTTACACACGCCTAGATGGTACATATATATTTTTATGTATATGTATTTTTTCATCAGGAAAACCAAATGTCCCAGCACCATTACTGAATATCAGTCATTTCCCTTACTTGTCTGCAATGCCACTATCAAGTACCATATATCAGTTTTCTATATATGCTCCATTATAATCTTATGGAACCACTCTTGTATATGTGGTCTGTAATCGACTGAAATGTCATTATGTGGCATATGACTGTAGTGATATAGAGAAAAAGAAACTCTCATTCCTCCCCAGAACTAACCACCAGGAAATTAAATAACACCCTTCTACATAACTCTTGGGCTAAATAAGAAATATACTGTGAAATTATAAGCAATACAGAAATGAATGACAATGAGGCCAGTACGTATCAAATCCTGTGAAATATGGCTAAAGTGGGACTCAGAGGAAAATTTACGGAATTAACTGAAAATACTAGAACACAAGGAAGTCTAAAATAATGAACTAAGCACACTACTCAAGAGGTTACAAAAAGAGCAATAAAATAACCACATGGAGGCATCCACTTCTCATTTTGGTATATTTTCTTCTACTTTTTTTCTTAAAAAAAAAAAGATTATGAGCAATATTTTTTAAGAAAAAAATGTAGAAGAAAATATACCAAAATGAGAAGCAGATGTCTCTCCGTGGTGGGACTCCAGGGGAAGTCTCCTTTCTTTAGGTTCAACTGTGTTTTCTAATTTTCTACAATAAACATGCACTACTTTTATAATCTGTTTAAAAACAGAAAGCAAGCTGCTTTTGGAGTACTATCGTGAGTCACTCCTGCTGCAGCCTAAAAGCCTGCCTGTTTCAGCTGTTCCCTCAACAGCACGCCTACTTTACAGACAAGGAAACTGAGGTCACAGGCCCAGACCTTTTTCTTAAGCCCCAGCACTAATGATACAGCAAAAACCAGCAGTCCGCACTCCAGAGAGGCTCCTGGCAGACTTAATTCCAGGAAGCTCTGCCATCCCACCCACAGCCAACCTCCAGGACTACCCCAGAAAAGAGAAAAGAGTCAGCTCAAGTTTACACATGTTTAATCCCTGCTCTCCTGGTCCCAGATTCCAGAATCCTTCCAGGCTGCACTTCCCTTCTCCTGCTCACCCAAGGCCTAGTCATCCACCACACTTCTCACCAGGATGCCAAAGCCAGACCCATTCTCCCAGGGGTTACTCTTCCCCACCCTGGCTCTTGTTGAAGATGGACACATGACCTTGGTCAAACCTCCATCTGGCCCCATTCAGCAAAGACAAGGCAGGAGGAGGAAGGGGTAGGGAGGTCAGGAGCCCATCTGGGGCTGCAGCAGCCAGCACAGGAACAGGAGGCAGGCAGAGGCGCAGGGACCTGAGAAGGCTCCATTGCTCATTTGCTTCTTGATCCATTTGGTGTATTTGGTGACGCGGGTGTACACGCCTGGATTCTGTGCCTTGGCGCAGGCCTTTTCCCAGGACAACACCCCAGCCAGAATCCATCTGCCCTCAACTTCACAAGCCAATGGCCCTCCAGAATCCCCCTAGGCAAAAAGAGAGGAGTGGTGGAGGCTGTGGGTCCAGCTGGGGCTGCGGGGCGCTGGGGACCCATGCCCACCCTCTGAGCTCTGCTGGGAGGCTTTTCACTCCCCCAGGGCCTCACTACTTGGGGGCCTCTTTCGGCTCCTCAGCTGGGACCCATACCCCAGAACCGGGGCAAAAGTCAGCATCACAGGGGAAGGAAGACAGGAGCAGAGCACCGCCAGGTGATGGTGACGGAGGGAGGCCGGGCCAACCCCGCCCCAGGGAACTGCCTCCACCCGGGAGTGATTCGCAACAGAAGTGGAGCTACCAGAACCTCTCAGAAACTCACATAGCACAAGTTTTCTCCATAATTGGTGGCACAGATCATGTCCCCCAGAACAAGGGGGACAACTGGGGGAAAGAAGGACTTCTTGTGGTAATGCTGGTCACACCTCTTGTTGTCCATGATAAACACCTCAGCCTCCTGCAGCTCTGGGGTCAGCGTGGAGTTGGCTGTGGAGCCCAGCAGGGTGAGCAGTGACCTCTCACTCCACCCAACCCTGACCTCTGTCCAGGGTCCTGTCCCCTTCACTCTGGAGACTCAGCCCAGCCACCCCCTGTCATACCTCCAAGCCCTCCCCTCCTTTACCGGCCCCTCCCCCTGCAGTGCAGTGCAGGCCTTGTCTGAGAAGGCCCCGCCCTCAAAGGCTCTGAGTCCAGATCCCCTTCTTGGGAAACTTCTGCTTCTGAACCAAGCCAGCCATAACTCAAGTCTCATTGCAGCTGCTTCCAGTCTGGTGCCCAGCCCCACGCGGCTTCCCTGCAGACTGTCAGCTCTGCCGGCATGGCCGCTCTCTCCACCTTCGTTAACACTCGCTCCTCCTCCAGGGCCTCAAGGCAGTCCCTCTGCCCAGAGCTCATTCCAGATCCCTCCCAGCTGGATCTCAAGACCACCAGACAAGAACTTTGCCTTGTTTTCCTCAGCCTGTGCCCACACCCACACCCAAACATGACTTCCCTCCAGGCAGGGCATGCATTTCTAATCCCAAGGGCTGAGTGCTGACTCTCAAAGTGTGTCAAGTGAATGAATGAGTGAATGCCCAGTTCTGAGCTTCTGTAAGACACAGATGGTCATGCCCAGCCCAGGCACTACCAGGCCTGAATGAGGTGTCTACATAAACAGTGACAATGGTCACCACATGAGGAGTGGTCCTAACACATTCAGAGAACCAGGTCCAGCAGGAAAGGCCTCAGAAGGAAAGGAGTGTGCTCTCGGTGGTACCGCACCCACCTCCCATCCCATCCTGCTCACCTGAAAAGCGCTGCTTAACCTGGCTCCAGCCAGTCACCCAACACTGTGTCCCAACCTTCAGGTTGAAGTTGGGTTCCGGGAGGCAGATGGGCTGCACATACTCACTGAAGGTGACAGGTGCTTGAAGGTGGACAAGGGCAATGTCACCCATGATGAAGGTCCGGCCCCAGTACTTGGGGTGCATAATGATGTCCCTCACAGGGACCTGGAGGGCCCTGCTGAAGTTCATGGGCTGCAGCTTGGAGGTGCCAAGCACCACTGAGTACTCTTTGGTGCTGTGGGAGACAGAGAGCCCCACCTGGTAGGTATCAGACTCCCAAGCAGGAACACACTCCTACCCTACTCCAGTGGGGACGCAGCCCTACCCCCTTAGCAGGAGTCCTGCCTCCACCCCATCTGCCTAATCTAGCCTGAGGGCACTGAAGTTCGGAGAGCTGCCTGCCTCCTCATTCATCATTCAAACTGATTCAAGGTGGCCTGGTCTGTGTGCTGTGCGTGCAGGTGTGGCAGTGTTGGTGTACACATATGCTTTCATGTGTGATGGGGTAGGGGGCATGTTCTTGGTTTTCCTGTTGCTCAGTTGAGGGTGTAATCTTTGTTGCTTGGGGCTCCTGCCCTAGCTCAGTCCCTGGTCCCCAGGAGACCCCGAGCACAATTCTCACCTATCCCAGATGCCCTTCCCACTTCCTCCCTCCCTCCCTCCCTCCCACACTGTTTCACTCAGGAAATGAGGAAGCTGGACTGGGCCCATGGTGGCTCGGGGTCTCCAAGCCCTGGACACATGGGCCACACTCACCCTTGGATGCAGTGGGCCGCAGTCACCACCCAGCTGGAGTCAATGAGGGCCCCTCCACATACGTGCTCATTTTCCATCCGGAGGCTCACCTCCCAGGGCCAATGGCGGGTCATTTCCAAATCCTCCGACCACCAGGGCTCACCACAAACTTCAGGAAGAAGTGTGCCGGGGACACACAGCAACCACATAGAGAAGAATGAGAAAGACTGAGACCTAGACGCCCTACAGGGCCAATGTGCACAAAGCTGTAAAGTCAGGGGCTCTTCCCATTTCAGCGATGGGGAGAGTGAGGGTGAGAGAAGGGCAGTGGCCTCTGCCCAAGAGCTTGATGGAAAGTGACAATGACAGAGGTAAAAAGCATCAAGGCAGACACATGGAGAGAGAGAGATTCTGAGTCACAGGGAGCCTTCAGCCCAGGACCTCAAAACAAAGGCAAGCAGAGAAGGAGCCCCAAGGCAAGAAATGCGTTTGCTTGCATCTGGGGAAGTTCCTCCCACTTCTGAAAAGCTATAATGCTTGCTGCATTTCTTAGATGCAGAAGGCCTCTGTCCCCCACACTGCTCAGAGTCAAGAAAAGCTCCTGACTTCTGTGTCAGAAGTTTTCACATTGAACATTCAAAGTGCCAGCAGAGAGACCCCAGAGGCCCCTCACTCACAGGCCACACACTCAGTTTGCACACAGTTCTATCAGTCAAGTTATACGGTTGTATGAATGTATGAAGAAACGCAGATGCAAGCATTCTACATAAAATAGTAGCTAACATTGTATTTTTTAAAAATCAATGCACCATGATGATTAAGGATTGGCCCAGGAGTGCAGGGCTGGTTCCACATGAGAAGAATTCTCAGTGGATTCTCCACATAAAAGGCTCTAACAATCTGAAGACAGAAAGACCATGCGCTTTCCTCCATGGACACAGAAAAAGGCATTTGAAAAATTTAACACATATTTATGACTTACAAAAAAATCCCTCTTGTTAAACTAGAAACAGATAGAATATCCTTAACTTTACAAAAGTTAGATATACTCCAAACTTACAACAAACATCATACAACACTAAAGAACAGGCAGAAAAGACCCTATCCCACCAGGGACCAGGAATAAGGACACTTTGTGGAAGGAGGGCAGAGGAAATAATTGACAGAACGCAAGGGTGCTGCTGGGTGCTGGTTCAGCCTACTTTTTTTTTTTTTTTTTTTTTAAACAGGGTCTCGCTCTATCACCCAGGCTGCAGTGCAGTGTCACTGCTCACTGCAGCCTTGACCTCCCAGGCTCAAGCGATCCTCTCAGCTCAGCCTCCCGAGTCACTGGGACTACAGGCGGTTGCCACCACACCTGGCTAATTTTTTAATAATTTTTTATAGAGACAGTCTTGCTATGTTGCCAGGGCTGGTCTCAAACTCCTGGGCTCAAGCAATCCTCACACTTCAGCCTCCCTACATACTTATTCTACTTTTTAACCTGGGTGGTGATGACACAGGTGTGCTCACTGTGTGACAATTCCTTCAGCTGGACCTTCATAATTTGTGCTTTTTGGAATGCATATAATACTTCAATAAAACAATTTCCTTTTAAAAACGATAATGTTTTTCTATCTCAGCACAACCAACTAGAAAATATACTGAAGTAAGATACATTTTCAGCAGCAAAAAATGCTAAAGTTCATAGAATTAACTTACCTAACACTACACAAGACTCCTGCGGTAATAAATTTAAAACTCTAATAAAGGACACAGAAAATGATCAGCATAAATGGCAAGACAGTCCCTGCTCTTAAAAGAACAGTTAAGGCCTGGCGCAGTGGCTTACGCCTGTAATCCCAGCACTTTGGGAAGTGGAGGCAAGCAGATCACGAGGTCAAGAGTTCGAGCCCAGCCTGGCCAACATAGTGAAACCCCATCTCTACTAAAAATACAAAAAATTAGCTGGGCGTGGTGGCGGGCGCCTGTAATCCCAACTACTCGGGAGGCTGAGGCAGGAGAATTGCTTGAACCCGGGGGCCAGAGGTTGCAGTGAGCTGAGATCATACCACTGCACTCCAGCCTGGGCAATAGTGCAAGATTCTGTCTCAAAAAAAAAAAGAAAGAAAGAAAAAAGACAGCTAAATATTTTAGATGTAATTTTTCCAAAATTAATCTACAAATTCATTTTGTAAGTTAGAATTTTTAAGAAACTTGATAAACTTATTCTGAAACTGAAACAGAAAAACAAAGTTCTATGAATAGCTCAGTCTTTGAAAAAGCACAGCAAAGAAGGGCCATTTGTCCTAGCAGATATTAAGACACATGTGAAAGCCATAATATAAAAACAATGTGGTACTGTCACAAGGACAGACAATGGAAAGTGACAATGGAAAAGAATAGAGAACTTGAGATTGTCCCGTGTGCTGCACAAACTTGATGTAAATAAAGGAGCCACCATAATCAGTGGGTAAAAGAAGGACTGTTAAGTACATGGTGTTGGGAAAACTGGCTCACTATAAGAGAAATAAGAAAACCAAAACTGGATTCCTTGCTAAAAGCACTTGAAGATCTAAAGGTGAAAGGTAAAACTGTAAAATTAATAAATCATGTGACATGAGGTAGGAAAGGACTCCTTAAAACCTCAAACACAAACCATAAAGCATAAACTGATTAACCTGATTATATCAAAATCGAGGGGTTTTGGCCCGGGAACAAAGTTAACAGACAGAGGACAGATAGGGAGGAAATATTTGCAATATCTAAAATGAACACAAGACTTTTATTAGAAATATGCAAGAAACTTTAGGAAACCAACAAGAAAAAAAACAAAAGGTAATAGGCAAAAGATAGAGACAAGCAATTTATTAGAAGAGGAAACTCAAGAAGCCAACAACATATTGAGACATGATCAAACTCATCAGTAATGAGAAAAATGAAAATTAAATCAATAAGTGATTTTTTAATCTATTAGATTGGCAAAAAATGTAAAAGCAGGATCACACTAAGGGTTGGTAGGTCTGTGCGAACCTATACACCTTCATGCACTGCTGAAGCAGGAGTTTGAAGAACTGACCACATTAGAATATGGATGGTAGATAAAAGTATGGTATCAATGTACACTTTTGAAGTTGTTAAGTGTACTGTGGTTATGGAAGAGAATATTCTTAGAAAATACATACCAAAGTATTTAGCAATAAAGAGCCATGCTGTATGTTACCCTCCACTGATTCTGAAAAAAATTATATATGTGTGTGTGTTCCTTGTACTACTTGTATTTTTGCAGTGTTTTGTAAGTTTAAAATTATTTCCAAATTTTAAAAATGTCTTAATGAGGCTGAATTAAAAGAGGGGAGAGCAAAAAGAGATACAGAGAACATACCATTTATGTAAATTAAAAATACATGCACCCAAGACAGCAATATGTATTTTTACAATAGCACACACAAACAGAATGATCCCTCAGAAAGATTAAGCGGGTGGAGAAGGGGGAATGGGAGTGGAGCCTGGACAGAAACAAGGATAACTAACTTAATCCATCAGTCATCCAATCTATAATGAATCAGGGTAGAGTTCTGGCAGGACCAATGAGAATGGAGGCCCATAAACGGAAGAACAGGAGTAACCCAACTCTCCATGCCTAAGGTGTAAGGAAAAAGACAGGAAACCCAGAAGAGCTGGGCTCTGTTGACACTGCCACAAGGTCCGGGAAGCTCTATCTGCAACTGAACGGCTTAGAGCTCGAAAGGTTCTGTGTGCAAAAGGGTCTGAGATGAGGCCTAGGCAGAATTCCAAGAGGCTCAGCATTCCTATGGCAGGCCAAGATCTTCTTTCCTCTAGACTGCCAGGTCTGTGTGTTCTGGTAGCTGCAGGCTATTCTTTAGAAAACAGACCCCTTAGACCAAATGCCTGTTTCCTACAGACCCAGAACCACTGTCTATGTGACTCCCTTCAGACATACCCTCCCAAGAGCTTCAGCTTTTCCTGCAGCAGGATCTCACCCTACCTACCTGGATTGGTTGTGTCCTGTTTATAACCTGGAGGAGAAAAGAGGGACAGAGATGAAGCAAGCACTCATGACAGGATGACAGCAAAGATGTGCATTTTAAAATTAGTTCATTCACTCATTCACCAAATAGGTCCTAATCTCTCCTCTGTTCCCAGCCTGGACCAGAGGCCAGGGAGACAGAGGCGTGTCAAATAGAGCCTACTCTCAAGGAATACAGTGTCCAGCAGCGTGGACAGAGGTAAACACACAACCACCTGCATGAGATCAGTGCAGGGACAGGGTGGCAGACTTCAGGGGAGCCCAGAAGAACTGGTGGACAGAAAAGACCACTTCAGTGGTAGGAGGGCTTACTGTGCCAGGTGTTAAAGATGAGAAGGTGAAACAGAAATGAAAAGTGATCATCACATTCCTTGCAGGAGGAACTTCGTCCTGTATGCCAGAGACTCCAGAGGAAGAGAGGCAAGGCCTGTGATGGCAAGAGATGAGCCAGGGGAGGAGAGTCAGGCATCAGTCATGAAGGCCTCGAAAGCTGAGCCAAGAAGCCAGGGTGAGACCCTCTGGGAAAAGGGAGATCAACAGAGGTATGACTGAGCCAGGCTTGTATTGTGAAAGCAGTATAGATATTAGACAGGAAGATGACAAGACTGAGGCACTGAGATCCCACCAGAGGCTCTGCAGAACCAAGGCAAGAAATGAGGAGGTCTGAATGAGGAAGTGGCTGTGAGAACAGACACAGTGTTCTCACAGGTGTTCTAAGGTGTGGGGGACTTAGGCACATGGGCGAGTCTAGGATCACACCCAGTTTCTGGTGTTGGAGAAAAGTGGCTGCCATCCACTTAGTTAGGAAACAATGAGAGAAGCCAGTTGGCAGGAAGAAGAAGACCTCAGCATTGACCCCAAGGGGTTGAGATGTTTCTAGGTCTTTCAGGTAGAGATGTCTAGGAGGCAGCTGCACATCCAGACATGTTTTATGAGGCACCATCACATAAATGGCAACTCAAGTGAGTTCACCCAGTGAGCAGTTAAGAGGGGAGGAGCGGGAAAAAGAGAGCAACTTAGGGGGCACGAACACGTCAGGGAGGAACATGTCTGCGGCATGGGACAGACACAGAGGAGAGGGGGAGTTACCCTTGAGGTAGAGGAGAATCAGGAGACTGCAGAAAATGAAAGAGGAGGGAGTGGTACAAAGGTCAGGGATGATCAGGGTGGAGACGGCCCAGGAAGGAGCTAAGGGTTAAGTGGGGAGCGAGGAGGCACTGGTGGGAAGCATGGAGTGAAGACAATTGGGCGGTCTGGCAGTGAAGAGGCAAGAGATGGAGGAGGAAAATCAGCAAAGCGAAAACAAGAGGGTACCTATGAGAGAGGATGGTGGAGGGAGTGTTGTACAGGGAGAGCCCACACAGCAGGGTACAGGTGAGCCGCTGGCCCTGCACCAGAAGCAGGTCTCTCTGACTCCTAAAGAAGTCGGTGAGGGTGGTGCTGAGCAGTCCAGCTTGGAGGAGCCCCTGTGGGTTTGGGGATTGGGTTCAGGAAGACAGCACCTGAATCCCGTGTTTCCTGAGGGAATGATGGGCTACTAGGGAGGCAAGCTGGGTTGGAATAGAGGATCTGGGAAGAAGGTGAATTTTAGAACACTCCTGTAGTGATGGGGACCAAGAATTTTCCTGGGCCAAAGAGCATGTCCAAGTGGGGTCTCCAGTGGGGCTCAGCTCCGTGCGAAGATCACAGCCGGGGGTGGAGGGGGAGCCTATGAGAGGCCTGAGGGCGGCTCGATTGGTAGGGACATTAGCCACGATGTCCAGACTGGGAGAGAAGGAAAAGACTGCCAGTGGAGAAGAGAAGGCAGGGGTTCCCCACAACGCTGGTCCAGGGGACTGTAGGACAGGTGTGGCCTGACGGAGGAGGCCAGAAGGGGCAGGAGTTTAAGATCCTGGAATTGCCCTAGCGAGGTCCTGGGAGCGAGTAGTAGAGGAAAGCTGATCGAGGGGTGCGTGGGCCGCAAAAATCCCCGACCCAGGAGTAGGCAGCCACACCCAAGGGGCAGTCCCCCGCCTCCAAGGCCAGGCACGGAGCCGGAGGCGGAGCAGGGCTGGGGGCCAGGGAGAAGGAAGGTAGAGCTGCGGAGGAGCGCCCACCTCACCCCAGCTCAGCGGCAGCAGAAGCAGCAGCGGCAGCAGGACGTGGCGGCTCAGGACCGAGGGCCTGGAAGTTCCGGGCCCCACGCCGAGGCTCGACAGCGAGACGGCCATGAGGCTGGGGAGGTGCCACCTGGCGGCTGCGGAGACGGTTCCCGAGAGCCCGGCACGTGCCTGGCGTCGGCACACGTGACCGCACTGTAGCACGTCACGGCGCCGGGAACTCCTGACAGCTCCCCACAAAACTGATGGATTTCCCTCACCTCCACCTCCTGCCTGTTCTTGAGGAGCCCTGTGTCTGTGATTGCTCCCAGCGTGGCGGGCCTCATGAAAGTACCCCCAAGGGTTTTAAGTTGGTGACAATGCCCCGAGAACCTGGCCGGTGAAGGTGCGCCACATCCCTGGACTACTAATGGCATCTTGTTGCCCAGCCTCTGACTACACCCTTGATTCCCTGCACCCAGTGCACTGGAGAGTTTCACAATTACTCTTGCTTTGAGAATCTGGAAAGATGGAGAAAGCACAAATAAGGAAAAGAACGGTAAGGCTATGGAATCAGAGAAGATGTATTTGAAAAAGTGGTATTTGAGCTGGATCTAAGACCACTATAAAATAAGGACTCTTGGGGGAGACCAGAGAAGGGAAAGGCATGTGTCCTCTTCCACAGACAACCAGTAAGATCGTGGCAGCTAAAAGGAATGGGGTGGCTTGTGCCAGGCCTTGGGCTTCCACAGGGATTTTTTGCAGAAGATGCTGTCTTTGGATCTGCTAGGCATGGCAGAGATTGGGAGGTGATCAGCTAGACTTGGAGCCACATTCCCTCCCCAGCCTGGCACTTAAGTGGGTCCACATGAATAGAGGTGATGTGTGCCACTTCCATGCCAAGGCAGTCAACAGGAGGTTGCCTTTTCTATTCTTGTTAATGCAGAGCATTGCTTCTCAAAGTGAGGTCTCCAGAGCAGCAGTATTAGCATCAGCCAGAAACTTAGAAATGGACATTCTTTAGGTCTTTCGGGTAAATTTACATTCTTTTAAGGTCTTTCTACCTGAAAGACAGAGAATGTAGGCCCCATCCCAGACCTACAGGATTGAAAACTCCAGGGGTGGAACCAGGAACCAGGAATCTGTAATTTTGTTTTAAGAGATGAGGTTTCCTCCTGTTCCCCAGGCTGGAGGGCAGTGGTGTGATTATACATCTCTGCAGCCTCAAACTCCTGGGCTCAAGACATCTTCCTGCTCAGCCTCCAGAGTAGCTGGGACTACAGGCACAGGCCACCATGCCCAGTTAATTTTTTTTAAGAGACATGCTACATGCTCAGGCTGGTCTTAAGCTCCTGGCCTCAAGGGATCCTCCTGCCTTAGTCTCCCAGGTAGCTGGGATTATAGGGATGAGCCACTGTACGGCCAGTAATCTGTATTTCACAAGCCTTAGGGGATTCTGATGCAGGTAAAGCGTTAACTACAGGACTGAGAGCAAGCCACGAGATGGAGAAAGCTATCTGCTGACCAAGAACGCTGTAATGGGATGTTCTAGGGAAAAAAAAGTTAAATTTGTTTTATTAATCTATGAATAAATCAGTGGTTTCTTAAAGCAGGTGGTGCTATATTCATTAAGAGACTGGGTTTGATGTAAGCTCTCAGTCTCTCGGCCTCAGCCTTCAGGCAACAGAAGGGACTGATACAGACTGTCCACTGAAGCCCACCCATACCTGGGGGTTAAACATTCAACCCTAGAAGGGCAAAGGGCAAGAGGTTGGGAGGGGGTTGATCAGCAGCTAGACAGAGAGACTCCAGGACACCAGACTTTGTAATGAGAAGAGAGAACCTATGTATACTACAGTGAATCTCTCTTGCCCTTCTCCCGATGGGATCGCATCTTTGGTAGCCAAGTGGGAGGGAGCAGCAAGGAGAAGCAGAAGATGAGGAGGAATATTTCTCACACCCGAACTTCACTCCTGGGCCCAGTTCCAGTGTCTCTTGATCCCCTATCCCTAACTGTAGAGACTGTTAAACTCAACTACAGAGCTCCCTGCAGAGATGCTGATGGCTATAACAGGCATACAGGGAACAAGACCCATTGGCTAAAACCATCCCTAGAGTTCATGTCTGAGGAGGCAGAGCCTCACCTGTCCTTCTACGTTTTAATAAGAACCATAAATAGCTTCTTTAGTTAAATGGGAAGCCAGTTCTCTACGGAGTATGTTATATTCAACCAAACTCCCCAGTGAGCAGAGCTTCAGAAACAGGAGACTCTCCAAACATTTATTCAGTTGATTTCTGAAAACTCCACACTCCATAACTGCCTCAACACAACTTGTGGTGTCCCTGAAAGTGGCCACTAGGGCACTGAGGAAGGGGATGCCAAGAATGGGTTGCTCCAAAAGAACTAGTGTGGCAGAGGCTGTCCACTCGCAGATGGATCCACACTGGGCTGCAGGGGATCTTCTCCCAGCCCCAGACAGTGGAGCCAGAGTGGAAGTCCCAGGCCTCACACCTCTGCAGGGACCTGGTAACGCCTCCTTCACTCTCTCTGAGCAATCACCCAGCTGGCTGGTTTCACAAAGTCTCAGGTGGGAGCCCTGACACCAGAAACACGTTGAACGCTTGCTTCACCATTGATGATGTCTCTTCTTTGATAGATGTTCCCCCAGATATTGATGAGTCACCATGGCCCACCTGGCAGGGCAGCTGGCCCTCTAGCTGCAATCGCTTCACTCCCTCCTTCCCACCAGCCAGAGCACAGCCCTGGTGCAGGCGTAGCTGAGAAAAGTGACCAGAGCACCAGGCAGGGGCATGTTCCAGGCCCCAGTCTCCCTGCTATGCTCTATTGTATGGATCTCCAGAGGGACCGTGGATTCCAACTGGGATTTGCAGAAAGGGCATTGGGAAGGAGCGGGAGGTTGGTCAGAGAAGACACCTAAGTGTGAGACTCCGAAACAGCAGAAGAGTGGAATGGGGTCTGATCACGGGGCCACCAGGATGCCCAGGGGCATCATCAGACACAGGACTAGGATGAGGGAGTCTGCTGAATTCAGACAGGAAGCTTGTCTCAGGTGATGAATAATCCATTTCTTGTAGAAACTAACTTCTGTGTAAACTCCAGGATATCCTTTGCGACCGCAGCCAACACCCCAGCTCACAATCCCCACCTGGAACCATGTGCCATTTAATTCACACACCAGGGGCCCCCCAGAATCTCCCTGGAAAAAGAAAGATAGTCACTGTAGGAAAGAAATAGCATCCACATCAGAGCAGGCTAATGGCACTGCAATGGGCTGCAGAGCTAGGCACTCAGGGGGCTTCCCCAGGAACCCCTAAGACCCTCCCTAGCCTTGGGTATCTGTCAATATGAGATCTGAGAATTGACAATTTCCAATAAACCAGAATCATGTACCTACTAAAAAGGTGTGTTCCAAAAAACAGAATATACATAATGAAATCGTGCCTACTCTGAGACAATAATGAGTCAGGTGCTTACCTGAGTACACTGCCTGCCACACAGAAGGGGCTCAAGACATGGAGCATGTATCGTTGGTGGGACCTGCCTGATTCACCCCTCCTCCCACTCCAGGCTGTGTCAGCTGCTCTCTCCTGAAGGATCAGGTAGGCTGTCCAGGAGAGCCTTGGTGGCTTGTCCTCATGTCCCATTACCATGAATAAGGGTAACGGAGAGGCTAGGAGATAACCCAGGCCCTACTGGCTGAGGATGAGGAAGCTTTGAGGAGACAACTACAGTGCTGAGGTAGCAAGAGGCCCATGAACTGACCTGACAGGAATCCTTCCCTTGGTCATTATAGCCACAGACGGTCCCCCTCGTGACCATTTTACTCTTGGCTACACTCTTCTTCTTGATCATCTCACGACATTGCTCATGACGCAGAATGTTTAGCTCAGCCTCCTGAAGAACAAATGGCCCTGATCCTGAAACTGCAAAGAGACAACTTACAAGAGAGTGGATCTTCACAAAGGGATATAACAGGAGCCCCTAGTGCCCACTCTGAGTCCTGATCAGTGTGTTTAACACAACTACCCAAATTAAAGGAAGTCAGGGCAGTGGATATTGGCCCCACTTGACATAGAAGGAAACTTGAGCCTGATGTTGACATGGAGAAAGGAAAGGACAAGAAGCAAAATCAAGACAGTAAAAGGAAAAACAGATAGGAGAGAGGCAAGACCTTGTCAGCCTGAAAAATGACAACCAAGTATCTGTCACTCTGAGTATCAGCAGAAATGACAGGCTGTCCTGTGCATCAGTAAAGCATCTTTACTTTCTAGAACAGGATCACAGACTCTTGGACAGGTAGTGCCTCTCCTAAGGATGGGAGCCCCCACAGCCTCACTGGCAAGGTTGCTCTGGCTTGGCCTACACTGCTAGGGTGAAGAAGTTCGACCCATCAAGGCAGGAACTTCTAGTGGGGGTTGGCTCCTATTGGCAGACAGCTCATCACCCTGAGCTGAAATTCACCCTGAAGAGAACCCACTACACCTGGCCCCGAAGCCCCCAGGTCCCAATGTGACAACAGAAATTCATAGCATAGTTGTTAAATTACTTCCTGGCAGCATCTTCTCCACCCTCCTCCCTCACCCACATGCTAGAAAATGGCTTCCCTGCCTCTCCCAATAGCTTGCAGATCAAGCCCAGCCCACCAGGCTGTCCCACCTTAGCATCCTGTCTGTCTCACCACTCTCTGACACTCGGCCCCATCCAGTCACCCAGCACTCTGTCCCAGTTTCCACTTCAAAAAGTTCTTTGGGGAGGCACACAGGCTGGATGTGTGAGGAATAATTCACAGAGTAGGCAAGCAGAGCAAGGGCAATGTCGTTTGTCAAACTGGCAAAATCAAAATTGCTAGGAAAAATGATGTCTTTAACAGGGATCACCAGTGCGTTTTCGGAACCAGCATTCAAGTTAGTGTCTCCCAGCTTCACCTTGTATTCCAAATCACTGTTAAGAGAAAAGATGGCCTTCACAGAGATCCTGGGGAGCGGGGGTGGGGGGCATCTATGCTCCCCTTCCACACCTTCCAGGTGCTTCCCAGCCTGGTCCCATCTTCCTATGCCAGCCAGCAGCCACTTCCCTTCCTGCAAACCACATCCCCCCAGGACCGCTGACCACTTTAGCCGGTGGTCCCCAGATCAGCGGTGGCGGTGGCAACACCTGCAAACTTGTTAGAAATGCAAATCCTCAGATCTCACCCAGACTGGATAAAAACTATGGGGCTGTCACCCCCTTTTACAGATGAGGAAGAGGAGGTTCAGGGAGGGGGACAGACTGGCTCCAGGTCCCCCAGCCTGATCCGGGCCCAAGCTCTGAGCCCCAAACACTCACCTAAAGACACAGTGGGCGGCAGTGAGCACCCAGCGCCTGTCGATGAGGGAGGCTCCGCAGAGGTGTTTGTCCTCGGTCTGGAGGCTCACTTGCCAGGGCCACTTCCTGTTTAGGGCTGGCAATCCTCCAATTATCCTTGAAACACGGTGGCCACAGGCTGGTGGGCTCAGTAAAGAGAGGGGACTGGAAGTGAAGCCACTACCTTCCCCCCACCCCCACCAGGCTGCCCAGGGCGGAGGCGGGTTATCCTCTCTCTCAAATCCTGTAGGTCAGGGTCTTACCCTCAACCTCCCTGAGCCAGGCTGCGTCCCCTTTGACCTCCCAGGCAGGCCAGGACAGATCTAGCACCAGAAACAATACCCTGAGAAAATTGCCTTCCAAGGTCAGAGATCCCGTCGGATTCCAAGGCTTCTCCCACTGTAGATACTGAAGTAATCCAGGATCCTGGAGGCCCTGCAGGCGCTAAAGTCCCTGGAGCTACAGAGGTTTCTGGAATTTTGGGGAATTTCGGGTGCACAGGAGGCGTCCGGGCTTCTGGGCTTGCCAGGTTCACTCTGGAATCCTCCTCGGGTCGGTATGGCTCACCTGGTGAAGACGGGGACCCGTGGCAAACAGGAGCTGGCCTGGCGGCGCCTCCTCCGCGTCTGCCTGTTCCCACAGCACCCCCACTGCCACCCCACACCCAGCGTGGGCGCAGCCCCGCCCCGCCCTGCCCTGTCCACTCCCAGCCTCACTGAGCAGGGGCTGAAGAAGCTGAAGCCAGATCAGGAAATGGAGGCTCAGGCGTGTGCCTCCACGGCCCCTGCGTAGGCCATCCTGGGACGCCATGGGCACAGTCAGCACGCCTC